AGTTTTCAAAAGAGTCCGACTTTTTGCCAATTGTTCTAGTTTGGCTAGACTATGATTATTATTTCATATTCTTCTTATTGTTTATTAGAGAGCTTTTCCATAAAGAAATACTTTGTTTAAGTTTACGGTTGTGCTTACAACACTTTCATTATCCTTTTGATATGATTAGGTTTCCCTAATTAGGCGGAATTAATTAAAATTCAATACTTTGTAATTCAACGATATTTTTATTAGACATCGATGTTTTTTGTACACTTTTTTGTTTATGTGTATAAAATCATAACACACTTAATCTAAATTGAAGCTAATTTGCTCCAGTTTATATTTAACTTAAATTGTATTAATTATGAAAATTTTATTTTGTAATATTATTTGAATACTGAAAATCTCGATTTATTTTCTATTTTTTATGATAGAGTATCAGATTCATTTTCAATGTTTCGGATATGAATCATTCCTGAATTGGATATAATTCTCGTAAATTTATCTACACTTCATTAATTTGTTTTGAGAAAAATTCATAATCTAGCTTTTTATCATAATGATTGTAATAAATGATATCGATTACCGGGAACTGGCTTTATACAAGTATAAAAATCAATGTTTACCATCTACTTAGGGTCTTCCCTGTGGTCTAGTTGCTAGAGCTCTGGTTTTCTTTCTCTGCAACCTACCGTGGACAGTTTGATGTCAAGTGGTATTGACCTCTAATTTCAGTTAAAATAGCCCTCCCTCGACATTGCTGCATTAAATTAGACATCGTCAGTATTAGAAAATTTTCAATAAAATATATATCAAAAATGGGTAATCCATGGTGTAATGTTCAAGCTCACGGACTCTTGATAATATATATATGAAAATTATGTTTTTAGCACAAATTCACCGAACATCCCATTCATTTTGGACAAACGGTTCAAAAGTTACAAGTAATTAAACAAAATGTAGACCAATGGGTGGCCGAACATTTTGTTACGTCAAATATATCATGTGGGGTATCAAATAAAAGGTCTCAGCGAGCTCTATTAAAATATTATATTAAAAAACTCCAGAAATCAGTAGGGTTCCGTACAAGCTATGTATTTACTAATATCTAATGATCTAATGCAATTATGAAGTATACAAACTTGCAGTAAATTTCATAAAATTGCAAATTATTCAAACAAGATCCTATGCATTTTCTTGTATTTTCTTAGCCAAATCAAATCTATATTATTTCCAATTTTTATCAGTTTTTACATTTATGACATTTTATATTGTTATTTCAAATAATCAAGTTTAAAGAATTTAAGAAACTTGAACAAATATAAAATCTTTAAAAGATGTATCTAAAATATACCGTTATAATAATCGATATTGTCTAAAATAAATATCTTTAGATACTAGATATTGTTTCTGTATCAAATTTGTAATTATTTTGCATTTATAACAAATTGAAATTATTTTAAATAGCCTATTTTGGGCACTTTGGTGTGGGGATGGCAATAGAAAACTTCTCACTCTTTTTTTTCCTGAATCGAGTTGGACTTTAACACAGCTCTGGTTTTCCTTCTCTGATATTAGAGCAGATTTTAAGTTCGATAACTCATCTCAGGCAGCCTGATGACAAGCGGTATTGACCTCGAATTTTAGTCATAAATTAGCTCTTCCTCGACATTGCTACATTAAATTAAAAATCGTCAGTATTAAAGACATTCTACTTAAAAATATATCAAACATGAGAAATATATGGTGTAATGTTTAGGCTCACGGACTCGTGTGGACGGACTCGTAAATTCTAACCCTGCTTTGGACAATCTGACATCGGGCAGTAGCGATGGTCCTTTTCACTTTAAAAAATAGGCTATGGAAAATCTCGCACGCTATTTTTTTCTGAATCTGGTTGGTGTTTAACTCAGCTCATGGACCCGTTTTAGAGCAGAACTACCCCTTAAAATTTGTTATATCAAATAGAGATGTTGAGGAAAAAGATTTATCTCTTATTTATTTATTAATTCATAGAACTGTTCAACGAAGTAAAAATAGTTTTCACTTATTAAAATAAACTGTTTTTTTTTACTTTTACTATAGGAGTTAAGAGGATATTGATTCAAACTAATGTTTATAAATTTTGCCTGACATATTTGCTACTTATTTTTATTTGTTCAGAAATTTACTCTATATATATACTCATATTGACATTTTTAATTTGAACTCTGAAAGCTCCTTGGGAAGTTTAGATATAGCCAAAATGACATTGTGCATGTTGTAGAGAATATATTTTAAATTATTTGCAATTTATAAATAATATTTTACAAAATATATAGAAACTTAAGAGTTTACAATCATTCAGATTCACTCTAATGAATATAGAACATGAAATTACTCTTTGCATTAATAATGGAGATAGAAAATTTTAGGTAAAAAAATATTTGTTAAAAGATCTATATTTAATAAATAAATATTATTTATTATAAACAAAGTATTTAAGTAAATTGCAATATTTTTTTATTGAATTTATAATTAATGATTTTGCTCTTGCATATTTTTTTTCGATGTATTATTATTCAATATATATTTATCAACACTTGGTTCAATGACTTATTTGCTATTTTTTGAAAAGCTGCCAATTCGAGTTTGCCAAATAAATTTTGCCAACTGATTTCAGATGGCAACCAAAATTCATTTTGTGCATTTGCGCATTCTGTAGTTCAGATCGAAGAGAGGAATCGTAGACACACTTTAATATCATTTAAAATTATACAATTACTAAAATATTAATTTAAAATGATTTTGAGTTGAGCAAAATTGTGAACAAAATCGTAGACAACAATCATAATTAATTTGGATAACTGCTTGATATACAGTGACTTTTTAACAAAATAACCTTAAGTGATATCATTCAAAGTGATTACAAAATTTAAAAATAATTGTAATCATTATGAGGACAAATTACGGTGTAAAATTTGATTATCTTAATCTAATTATATTTACTTTTATATCAATATTAGATAAAGTGTGACATTGTTGAAAGTGTTGTTGCATATACTGATATAACAAATAAATTAAAAGTAGTTGCCTACACAAATATGTGACTGTTCTAATAAATCCACCAGAAAGTCTGTGATTAAAATTATGTTAATGTAAATAGAAAAAATTAAAATGATTAGAAACAATTTGTATACATTTTTTATTATAAAAATGTAATACATGTAATATGTCATGTTTCTGGTGCAACAGCAAAAAGATGTTTGTCTGATTACAAAAAAGGGTAAAATAAATTGTGACGTACGTGATTTTCTGAAATATTTAATTGTGATCAACTATTTTTTAAAAATCATTCTAATATTAAATATTATTAAATTATGTTCAGAATACACAAAATACGTATAAAAGGACATAAAATGAAATTATAAAATATTATTAGACTTTATTTTAATATTAACTCATCTTTATAGATAAAATATTTTTTTATTATATATAAGGAATTAATAATTTTGTTATATTAATTATTTTAAAGGATTTAATTTTTAAGATTTTAAAGAATTTAAAATTTTACAACTAATTCTGAAACTCAAATGTATAAGTAAAGTAATCTATACCAGTTAGAAAATGAGTGCTGAAAATTGTGGATTTTTTGAAAGTTTTAAATATCTAGAGGTTTTCAGTTGTTGAAAACAATATCATAATAGAGCAAAATTCTATTAAATACCTATTTTACACGATATAAGGGGTATTTTTTACATTTTATTCTTAGAACTCTGTTTTTTCAGTCATAATTCAAAATTTCTAATCGATAAAAAATTACAATTACAATATGTTTATAGTTATAAAGTAACAAGCTTAAAAAATATATGATTTATTTTTATAAATTATCAAAATAACCATATTATGTAAAATGAATTAAATATGATATTAAATTATTATTAATATTATTAAATTACATTAGTATATTAAAAATCTTTCTTTTTTTATTCGTTTGAGCAAACGTTTCGATTTCAAATTCTGCTTTTTCTACTTAAACAAATTTCCATATTGAAAGAGCTTCGGATAATACAAAAATAAACGAAAAATTTAATACAAATTTGTAGGACTCGTAAGATAATGTAAAATCCTTAAATATATCTATAACAAATATAAGATTGACCATAAAACTTAAAAAATTACTTAAAATCACCAACTTTTAAAAAATAATGTTTTAGTATGCACTTAGAATTCTATTTTTACTACTTAATTTATTATCATACACGTTATTCGAGTAAAAATTTAGATCAAAATGTGAGTAAGCATTTAGATTATCTATTGAAGAAATTCTCATTTTCGAAAGGCTTTGGTCAATATTGTAGTAAATGATGAAATTGATATAAAATCAAAGGATTAATAGAGTATTACAATATCTTTAAGTAGATGTAGCAATAATTTGTATTATTCATGAAGTTAATTTTTGAACAAATGTTAAATTGTCTGTTGTTTTATAAACAAAATGATTGACCTGAACATAAATAAATTAACAACTTTTAAAAATTAGTGTTTTAAAATGCATTCAAAATTTACTTTTTTTTTATAGTGATCCGATTCGATGTTGGATATAAATGTAGTCCGGTTGTGAAAATATTTAATAGTGTAGTAAATGATGAAATTTATATAAATTTGTAGGACTTATCGGAGAGTACAATTCCGTTAAATGTAACAATAGGTTTTGTTGGCACCAAAGTTAATCTTTAAAGAAGTTTTATAAATTATTTGTCCTCCTTTAACTAAAATCAGTGACGTGATGACTACAAAAAATGTGCAACACAATACCACCGACCATTAAAACAATACAACCAGCCGTGTTATTATTATTAAAAACCTACCTTTATCTACCATTACATAACCTCTAGTACAAAAATAACATTTCCGAGAAAGATTTGATAATATCTGAGCAGAATAATGCGCTTGTGCAAATGTCTCTCGTCCAGCGCATGCGTCTTATTTTGGAGTAGACAAAGGCATGGTGTCATCTCGTTCGGTTTCTTAATAAAACAGAGTTTACTTTCGCCTGGTGCAGATCTGTGTAAAAAAGTTGATAGGAGAAAATTCCATTTCACCAATTTTCCAAGTCCGATCATGGTTTGGGCCACCGATAAATCGCAGGATGGGAATTTGTACGATGGTGTTGGAAAGGTGAAGAAGGATGTTAATAAACCTAAATCTTGGTTTTACCTAAAGTTTTGTGGTTAATGTGCTTGTGGTAACTAGTAAAGTGACATCATAGCTAATAAACACTAAACTAATTTTTTCCCCCATTTTACTTTAAAAGTTGGCTAAACCTAAGTCCTTGGCATGTGTTGTTGATACTGTTGTACTTAAAGATGTGAGCATACAATATGAATGGTTTAAGATTTTATTTTAACCAATGTTGATGAATGAGTTCATAAGTTTGTGCTCAAAGTTCTGATCATGGAGGTTAAAGGTAAAGTAGTAATAAAATTTAAAAATATCAAGAAAACACTTTCTTTTTCCATTCTTACCCCTAACCTTTCCAATACCTTGTTTCAAGGTTAATGTAGTCAGACTATTTTAACCTCAAAACCAGGTGTTGGAAAGGTTAGGGGTAGGAATGGAAAAAGAAACTGTTTTCTTGATATTTTTTAATTTTATTAGTATTGTATTAGATTCAATCCTAAATATTGATTTTATTCAAAGTCATTGTTTCCGTTATTAATTTTTTCGTAGATATCATAACTATTGAACAAACCACTAATAGTATTTAATTAATTGCAACTATTTTTATATTTATATGTATTATATTTATACTATTACTATGTACTATTTATTTTTTGTATGTATTTAATAAAATGTTACTTTTTTATTTAATGGCTAACTTTAAGCATTTAGCCACCTACTACTACAATACATTATATTATATTCTATACAATAACTTTCTCTATTCTATACAATATACAGCTACTTATTTTGTAATATTAGTCTTAAAATTTCCTGAATATCTATCGAAAATAAGTAAATTAAATACACAATAAAGAATAGATGTTTAATTGTTTAATCAAAGTCGTTTTGATACGTACATGTGGTTAAAGATGTGAGAAAGGAATATAAATGTATTTATTTCAATATTTTTATTCTAAACAAAAATTGTTGGTGTGTGGTTTAGAAATGATTGGTTGAAGTCATAACTTGTGATTCTATTACCTTAAAAAATGGTTGTACCAAAGTAATGATATGAACTTGTTGAAAGAGTAATAGTTGGAGTGGATGAAGAGCATCTTATGTTGATCTGTTTTAATCTGAAATATTACTTCATTCAAAGGCCTTAATTTCTTGGTTAATATACTTTCTAATAGCCTAACGAATTTACAGTAATATTTATTTTTACATGTATCTTGTTTTTTACAACTTTATGACTAATGTTTTATTTTGTTAGTTATCTTATTGATGCATTGTTCTATTTTAACTTTTCAAGTTAATTTTTCGTTTGGTTTTGAAATAATTTGGTTTTGTAATAAAGGCATTCATAATTAGATAAATGATCTGAAAATAGTTTCAAACTGCTTAATTTTCCATGTATTCGAACTAAATAATTTTCCATGCAAACTTTTCTATATATATTTTATATTAAATTTGTATATAGCTTGTTAAGTCGTCCTTAACTTAGCTCAATCTGGTACAAATTGTCCTTATGAACTCTATCTTTCAAGAAAATATAGCTCTCCGACAGTTCAAAAAAAAAAAACTTAAAATACAAATCATACAGCTCCCTGAACCAAATATAACCGCAATTTTCTCTTTTGAAATTTGAAAATTTTTGTAAATTAACCACAATTTGCTAGCTTTACTCGTTACATTACTACTCGACAGCTAATTCATGGCTTTATTTCATTTTTATTCGTGAAATACATATAAAAAAAACTTTTAGCAGCTTTGCCAAAAATCGTTTTTATACAAGCAAAATGTTTTTTGAATCATTCAAATCGGATGCTTTGTTCTCTCAAAAACATTTTTTTTGCACTTTTAGCTCTGTATCTCTGAAACGGCTAGACCTGTGTTTGCCAAAAACTAATCACTACTTCTTCCCATCATCACAAATTGAATGTTTTTCGAATCATTTAAATTGGATGGTCTGTTTTCTCATATAACTTACTTTTTATTTTATGTACTTTTTGCTACTTATCTATACTAAACAACTGAACCGACTTTTGCCAAAAACTAATCAGTACGTCTCCTTATCAATAGAAATCGAATGCTTTTTGAATTATTCAAATCGATTGATCCATGCTTCCAATAACGTGGACAAAAAATTGTATCCACACAAAACACACACACGCACACACACAAACTTATACATCTAGGCCCTAGATTCTAGAGTATGTCAAAATGTTCAGAAACCCCTGAAACGTAAAGATTTGCAAAAAAAAAATTATTTACTATATGATTACTTCACTATATGATCACTTAAACTTAATTTTTTGAACAAATGTGTATTGAAATTGAATTAATTACGAATTTGAATCCAAAGGGCGTGTGTAGTAGTAAAAAAAGTGATTCATCTTTTTTTTTAAATTCCATTATCGATTAATTGCGATGTTATTTATAAGCAATTTCTCCGAATATATTATTTTAGATAATAAATTTGTTTTAAGATAACAAAACATGTTTATTTTTATCTAGCATAAATGATAGATAAACGATTTTTGCAGGATTCGCTTGCCTATAGAGCATTTAGCCATAATTTTTATTTCCTACGCTATTCGACGTTTTCATTGGAAATTATTATATTGAATCTTTACTAACATTATTTTCGTTTATATATTCTTTTTCATTTAATTACTTTGGGCTTAATCTACTTTGTACATCGTACTCTATTCAATGTTTTTTGCATCAAAATGGCTTTTACATATTTTTGTTAACATACATTAATTTTATATCCAATTATGTAATATATTCTAATCAAATTTCTATTTGAGTTTTTAAGTATTGACTACAAATATATGTAGTATAACAATTATATTTTTAAAATACATATATTTTATTCTGGAATAAGATCGGAGTACCTCTCACATGCGAGCTGATCATGATGCCATTACAATCATGCTATTCTATTTTTTTTTTCAAATTTGTTATTAAATGGTTACTTAATTATGAATTGAATAATAAAAATATAGTTCAAATTTTGACTTAATTTTTAAGGAAAACAGATAGTTTTTTGGTAACTTGAAATCTCATCGATTATATAATAAGGCGAAATAAGTTGATTTTTTTTTTAAGAAAAAGCTCAATTTTATAGGTTGCTGATATAATATAAATGTTTAAAGAAAAACACATTTCAATGTGTTTACCGTTCCTGAAATGTGGCTCAATGCCAATATTCTAACATTACCACATAGAACACTATCAGTTCTTGGAGAACAGCTGATTGCAGAATGCAAATTGGCACAACTTATTTATCATTCCAGTTTAGTTATGTCATCTCTAGTGCAAATAGAGATTTATTATAATACACATACTTAAATCGTGAATGCAGTACATGTTGTATTGTATATGCAAAATTGTAGTGATTTGACTTTGTATTAGGTAACAATTTACTCTATAAACAATCGCTTCATTACTCTCCTATTAGCCTTAAAATATAGCTTCTAAATTACATTAGGATATAGAACTAAAATATTATAAATAAGCTGACCAGGGCTTTGCGGTAAGGACGTGGATTAGTAATCACTGGGTTCGACACCCACCTGAACTAGCTTGATATCAAGCGGTTGTGATCAGATTTTCTCTCGAGATTGTAGATCGCAAATATGATTTTGAAAATACTATTGGGAGGCATTCGAAACCTCTGTTTTTGAAAGCTTTATTTTATACATTTGCACTTTTTTAGTTTTTTTTTTAATTGAAAGAATTCACTTTTCAACTTCCCGATTGAAAAGTTTGTTTTTATCAAAAAATCCGATTCGCTAATTTTATGTTTTCTCGACGATTCAAGCCATTCTGAATCGAATAAGACCAAATCGTACGAATCGTTCTGATGAGTTCTTGGTAGAGATCGGCCAGTCCGTTTTCTTGTAATAAAGTGTTGAAAAAATTTTTTCGACGATTTTTATTATTTTTTTGACGGTAGATACCATTGTCTTCTAGTTCACATTAAAATATTACGGCCCTACAACAACTCGTTTAGCTTTAGAAATTCGTCAAAGTTTGCAAAAATTAGTATCGTTTTTTTGGCATTTGTCAAAATTAGACCTCTCATCGAGGTATGCTTAAAAACGCCTGAACCGATTTCAGAAATTTAAAAACCATTTCATGTATCTCGATAAGGATTATCGTTTGTCAGTTTTGTGAGACGATCTGTCGAGCTGTTTCTTTGTAATTTGGAAAAAAGTGTTAAACTTTTCGTCTACGTTTAAGCTCATACTACCGAATCGATTTAAGAAAAAAATCAAAAACTGTTCGAAAGATATTAGTTGGGAATGATACTGATTAGTTTTAGGTGAAAATCTACCGAGCCGTTTTCTCTAATTAACGGTTGAAAAAAAATTTAATCCGATTTTTATGGAACTTTTTTTGGCTATATATATCATGGTCTTATAGACCTTTTTCTGAAATATTACGCACTTGCCACAGTAGTTTAATTTTAAAAATTCATCTAAGTTTGAGCAAATGCGTAGTTTTTTTTGACGTTTGTTAATATTAAAATTAGCCGATTTACTTGGTATAACGATAGAGTACTTGATCTTAATGAACATACTAAACTATTAAAGACCTACGGAAACTGGTTCAATTATAAAAATTGTTCTTTTTTGAAAATTTGCTTTTAGAAAATACTTCGAGTCAACGTGTTCATTCGTGTTCAATTATGTGTAATAAATCCACTCGGAATACTTTCAATCACTCATAAATTAATTTATTTTTTATTTATTAAGTTGATTATTTACACATATCGGGAAGTTTATGTAACTAGTCTCAAGACAAAATACCAATACCATCTAGTTACTTATATAGAATGTATCCATAAAATTAAATAATACATTCAATAAAAATTTTAATTATATTAACATATTTAGAATCATAAGTGTCTATATTATCAAAGTTTTGTGTATATTGAACAACTAAAATTTCTCAATTTATTTTATTAGATTTCTTTTGTCTTTTTCTTGTCTTTAGAAAGATGTGCTTGTCTTTTACTAGACTTGTTTGTGTGCAAATGTTTAACTCGTTTAATAAATGTATATAATAAATTGCGTGATCCTTTTGAGTCTATTCTTGAATTTTAATCATCTTCATGAAAATAGATTGATTATAAATATTCAGTTGAAATTTATATTTTTCCATAACAGATTCTTGTCTAAATTTTTGCCAAACTTAAATAAAAAATTGTACTACGTATAATGTGGCACAACACTGCTGTGTTTGATCAACACTACTTCTTCTATGTATACATGCCAAACTAAAATATTTACTACCTCAAATGGCTTATCAATAATGAATGACAATAATATGGTTACATCATTATTGCTCCACAATATTCAATTTAGATTTTAAGATTTTTATTTATTATAAATTTATTTTTCAGACTGAGGGATCAGTGCCTGCCATGCAGGGTCAGGCTGCAGATGCTCCGAACTACTTGGAGCACATGTGCGCCCTGGACATTGATTCGAAGGCCTCCTATGTTAGATTGTCTGGGATAATATGTACAATTGGTAAGAAATAAAAACTTTAACAGAATTTTGGAGATCTAATCCACAAGCAACGCATCTAATCTGCAAGCAATCTTAGGAGTTTTATCCCTAATCTAGAAAAATCTTGGTGTGATAGCAGTAAAATGATGGAGATATTAAATTCAATTTATCCGATAATGCTATATCCCATCAGTTTATCACCATAAAATGTGTAAAAACTACTATTTCATTTGTGATGTTTATTCATTACTCAATACTATAAGTTATAACCATTTATACTTGTTTATCTATGGTTATAACTTTCTTTCATTTTGCTAGACTCTAATCTTTCTATTTCAAAGCATTTTATATAAACGAACACTCATTCACTCACTCATCAACACCGAAAGATTTCGGGATGGTCAAGTTATATTGAAGGTAAACAGTTTAAATTTTTGCCAGATATAATAGTGAATATTGTATCAAATAACATAGTTTCTATGGTCTATTCAATAAAGCCTAAACATTTGTTACTATAGAGAGTTATAAGGAGTTTTCGACTATTACTAGAATAACTTTCTATAATTAGTATTATATACTAGGCTAGTAATAGTAGTTATGAAAAGTTTTTTATTTTTTCAAGATTGCTGATTGAACATATAAATAAAACTTAAAAATCAGTCAAGATGATGCTATATGTACATTCCATATATTAAAGTTCTATCAAAGAATCTAACACTAAATTATCTCTTCTTAATTAAATCGATTTTAGACAGTTACCTTAAATTTTTGAATTTTTTTTCAAGATATTCATTTTAATATTATCTACCAAGTAAAAATGTTCACATTATAATCTGATGTAACATCAATAAAAAAAACATGAATCGTTTGAGAGTATATTTTTAAAATCCATATGCTTCGGCTATAATCTTGATAAAAATATAAATTAAAAATTAACTTTTCATATTATAAACTAGGTATCAAAACGTACTTATAATTTATTAATCGAATATTAAAAACTGAACTACCAGTTATCCATGGTATGAGGATATGATCTCACTGTGGTATGTGATAAAAACATTAATATTTACATAAATATCTGTCTCCGTTCAATTTTTTTTGTTTATTTTTTGACTTTGTATACACGTACATCACTCATATACATATCTGTTTACATATATTGTAATATTTATATTAAATATCATACTATAACTTAAAGCTCAAATTTTACTACAGAATATGTGTGCTATCTGCAAATTGTAAGTAATGTTACGTTGGTAATCGTATTTTAAATACATAATATTTCTAGCAGACTGATATATAGGCGAAATTAATTGTGTATAACTTTTTCAAATATGCATACTTTCATTTTTTTAAAAGCTTTGAAACATAATACAAAAACCAACTATATGTCTCGCAAATAAATGGGATGTTATTGCGTTTATTTATGATCTTATAGTTATGCATTTGAATAAAACAACCTTCCGCAAAACGACTGTTGAAGAATTTTTCTCAAAATGTAAAATGAATGCATTTAGAAAATTATGTTTCGGTGTGTCTATATCACAATAATCTATTATATAAAAATAAGTCGGGTTTTCCTTCCTGACGATATAACTCCAGAACGCACGAACTGATTTCTTCGACGACTTTTCATTCGTTGGAAAGGTCTCGGACTCCGTGAGGTTTATAGCTAAGAAAATTTAAGAAAGATTTCAACAGAAAAGCAGAAAACACTTTTTCTTTTTTCACATACAGCGTCATCTCTGATTCTTAGCATGTACTACAAACTTTTTGTTTGACTGCTACTCATTTGTTGGACAGACATTGTTCTCTGCTCAGTTAATTTCATGTGACAAACCGGCATTATGTTCATTGTGAAATTGTGCAAAAAAAGTAAAAAAAAAAATTGTTTCCTAACACTTTAATTGGAAACCATCAAATCAATCACGTGTATTGTGCAAATTTTTATTCAATTTTAACAGCAGGCAATTTTTTTCTTCATTTTTTAATCACCAAACGAAATGTTACATAAAATGAAACCATCTGGTGGTGAAACGGAGTTTGCCCGGTTTGCTAGTATATAATAAGAACTTAATAGTGTTAAACGTGACTATTATCCTATGTTATGCAAACATCAAATACAATATTATATATAAGGTATTTTGTGAACAGATTAGACATTATCCTCAAGGAAAACTTATGTCCTTCGTAAATATTCAGGGGTTTTACCAAAATTTATGTAAGTGAAACCTAATTTTATAATGTCTAGAGTTATAACAACTTAAATTTAGATTTGCTTTATATTTATTTTTATTGAATAAAAATTTAATATTAACTCAAATCGTAAACATTTTTTAAACTATACAAATCTTTGTTTTTAAATAAATAAACTATGATAAAATGCAACTGTTATTATATAAATGTTATTATATAAATTGTTGATTATATGACTCGTTTTTAAACGTTAAAACTTAAATTAACTTGAATTTGACAAAAAGGATAGGCGTTAAGGGAGACCTTAAGATAACACGCTAACTCCAGAAATATATAATAGTTATACATAAAAATATTTATATTTCTGTATAAATCTGTTTTTTTTTAACCAGGACCAGCATCCAGGGATCCTGCCACTCTTCTGCGCATGATGCAGACCGGCATGAACATCGCTCGTTTGAACTTCAGCCATGGCACCCACGAGTATCATGCCCAAACTATTGCCAATTTGCGCCAAGCTGTTGCCACTTACAGCGAAAAATTAGGAATGACCTACCCCCTTGGCTATTGCTTTGGACAATAAAGGACCAGAGATCAGGACAGGACTTTTGGAAGCAGTAAGATTTATTATATTTAAGATCAATTCATATTAGTTAATGGGGGTATTCTGCCGTAACAGAGCTCATAAAATAGCGTTTTCATGGCAATGGTAATGAAAATTGTGAAAATGTCTATTTGCCGTACGATAAGGCGCATTTTACATATAAATTAGGCTTGCAACGAATAGTATATTCGGCAAAATGCCGAATACCGAATATTCGGCATGCTCCAGAGACCGAATACCGAATATTCGGCAACTATCCGGCAGGTTTTGGCGCCTAAGCTCGTTTGTATTAATGTAATTACTATCAGTAATTATTATATTACTAGCGCGCTACATGTTTATTCAAGTTTTATGCCTAGACTTGCAACCACTATTCGGCTACTCTTTGTTATTTGGAATATTTGGCACCATTCATACTATTCGGCCGAATACCGAATAATTGAATACTACATGTGATAGGAAAATAAATAGTAAAATCATGTAAAAAGCGATTCTTCACATATACGTATGTAAATGTATTTCTAATTATTTCTTTTATAAACATTTTTTATATATTCTTTATATATTAGGAATGCTAATAATAATAAAATAAATAAAAAAAGATCAAAAATATTGTTTGTATATTTTGCGATAGAGCCAATAATAGCTCTTTTTTTGGAAATGCTTAGATTGAGTATAATCAATGACTTTATTGTATTGATACAACACATGCGTGTAACTTGTATATCTTGTGCTTGTGAATATTCAGAAAAAAGTTTTAAGCCTTTGATTTTAACTATTTGGTATCGGCCGAATATTAAAAAAGGTGCCGTATACCGAATAGTAACCGAATATTCGGTGCAAGCCTGATATAAACATAACTGCACGATCTAGAATTCTGTCATCATAACATTCTTCCTTGCTTGTTTATATGTAAAATACGCCTGATCGTCTGGCAAATATATAGACATTTTCATAATTTTCAATACCAAGAACAAGTATAAGAGAGCATTGCCATGACAACGCTATTTTATGAACTCTGTCAAGGCAGACTTTTCCCCTAAATTTTCAACGTTCAAAACCACTATCTTATTATTTTAGGGTACCAATGCCGAAATTGAATTAAAACGCGGCGAAACCATCAAACTGACCACCGACAGAGCCTATTCCGAACGATGCACCGATCAAATTTTATACTTGGATTATGAAAACATTGTTAGAGTGGTTAAACCAGGAACAAGGATTTTCATCGATGATGGCTTAATTAGTGTCATAGTGCAAAGTGTAGCAACAAATACCTTGATTTGCCAAATTGAAAATGGTGGCCTTCTAGGAAGCCGTAAAGGTGTCAATCTGCCAGGAGTTGAAGTCGATTTACCTGCGCTCTCAGAAAAAGACAAGTTAGTAGAAAAATAAAATTAAAAAAGAGTGCGCGTAAGGTTCACAAGCGATTGAAGTAAAACTTATTTGCTACTGTACAAGATGGCATTTAAGTAAAAATAAATACGTCATATAACAATTTTGAATAATATTTATCAGTAATATGGTGACACTCGTGATGCACGCATTTATTAGTGTCAACCATTATACACATTAAAAATATTTATAATATTTGAAAACAATAATGTAATTTAAGTTATACTTCAAATATGACATGGTCGGTTTGTCATTGTAATTAGCATTTAGAAATGAACCTTCATTAGAGGAATGAAGCAATTGCTGATTAATAACTTCTATAATATTCGTTCACACAGTGGATTATATTAAACAATGACAAAATAAATATTGTTTTCAACTTCACTCTTCATGTAATAATTGTGTTTGAAGAACTTCATGTAATTAAAATTAACATACATTCATTGACTGATGGTATTTTTTTTTCTTCATTCATTTAAACTCATTCTTTAAACAGCTCTAATATGTTTTGCCTAAAAAATATTTTCGATTTCAATAACTTCAAAGATTTATAGAAACTACGGATAATATTGAAATTATTTCAATAAACACGTTTCATACACGGCGCAAATGCTGCATTTGTTTTATTATTTTCATTATAATTATTTACGGCGGACAGGGTAAAATATTCTTCTGATTCAGGTATTTTTCATTAAATCAAGATTTGCACCACGATGTAACTTTAAAATGTTTATTTATCTATGGCGATTTCCGTGTTGATTTCGGTACGCATACAACAACAGATCTCTATTCACATACGCAACGACCAATCACAATCGACTCGTATAGAAATGATATCATAGAGAGCGAATGACGAATCATTGGCACTCGACTCTTCCGTTGCATTTGTACGGATTTACACCCTAGTCTAAAGAAGTTTTACTTCAATAATAAGTAGATTATTATCGATAGTTGATTATACTAAAACATAACATAGGTCCTAATGCAGTACAGTTTCAACCTTAATACTTTTAGGTAACTTAAAATTTCTTTAAAAAAATCCAAATTATTTCTTTCCCCAGACAAGACCTTCGTTTTGGAATCGAGCACGACGTTGATATGATTTTCGCTTCTTTCATTCGAGATGCCAATGCTTTAGATGAAATTAGAGCAGTATTAGGAGAAAAAGGACGCCGAATTAAAGTTATCTCTAAAATAGAAAACAAACAAGGAGTAGCTAATGCAGATGAGATCATTAGGGCTTCCGATGGTATCATGGTTGCGCGAGGTGACTTGGGAATAGAAATACCACCAGAGAAATTGTTCCTTGCGCAAAAGTCTATTATCTCAAAGAGTAACAAAGTGAGCAGAATATAGAATTAAAAAAAATAAATCAAGAATCAATTCATGCTATTATCTGATTTTTTGTAGCTTGGTAAACCAGTAATCGTCGCCACTCATATGTTAGAATCCATGGTTCGTAAACCAAGACCAACCCGCGCAGAGACATCCGATGTTGCCAATGCAATCCTGGATGGAGCTGATTGCGTCATGTTGTCTGGTGAAACTGCCAAGGGTGATTATCCAATCGAATGTGTGCTGACGATGGCCAATATCTGTAAAGAAGCTGAAGCAGCTATTTGGCAACGACAAATATTTGCTGATCTATGCGCCGAGGTAAACCAGATAAAAATTATTTATACCAAAGGTGTTAATTTTCATATGATATATTTGTTCATTCAGGCTAGTGCTCCAAATGATGCTGCTCATTCCGTGGCCATCGCGTCAGTGGAAGCATCAGCAAAATGTTTAGCAGCAGCAATTATTGTTATCACAACTAGTGGAAGATCTGCACATTTGATTTCTAAGTATCGACCAAGATGTCCAATTATTGCTGTGACACGATATGCACAGACCGCACGACAATGCCATCTATTCAGAGGAATTCTTCCACTAGTCTACCAAGGTGGGTAATTAGAATATTTGCTAGGGTGAAAATTTCGGGATCAGTAATAGGTATATAATTTTATCAGCATCTACCGGTTTTGTTACAGTTGTGGTATTTTTTTGTTCTATTGTACATAGCAAACTGTACACACAAGTACATACAGCTACTTTACAGGTAAATTTGATCAGACAGCGTGAGAAGGATCGTTATCCTGCGATAGCATCTTCTCAGATATTATGTCTTCTGTTGTAGTAAATCAATGCAGGTTCTTTTTTTTGAGTCGCGTTGGCGTTAAAGCCTTGGCAGGTCACACGCTACTTCGTTTATATGTCGATAAGTTGTATCTGGAGCAATAATGATTAATTTTTTCTTCAATAGTTATAATTCTGGGGTCTTGATGTATTAACCAGTTTGGAACATTTTTGGAAGCGTTCACGATTTCTTTCAAAATTTTGTTCTGAAACCTCTGTAGAATAGTTATGTTCGATTTACTGGCCACATCCCATAGTTGTAGAACTTAGGACCATATTGGTTTAATAATGTCTTGTATATGGGCTTTATATTTTAATGAGACTTGTGATTTTCAGCCCATTAACCAATTAAATTGTCTACGTGTTAGTTCGAGCTGCTGGCGCTTCTTAACAATTGTTATTATTATTATTTCTTATTATTAACAAATGTGGTATAAATAATTTTTAGTTAATATGGTATCTGCAATTTATCTTTACTTCTATGTCTCTGCATGTATATTAAAGTTATAAAAAACTTTCTCAACAAATAATCAAGGACAAGATTGTATAAGCAACATAATTATTAACACCAAAAATAAGTTTTGTTGTCGATGAACGCTTAAAAATCGTTTTTAACCTTCCTAATCTTCAAAAAATTCTCAATTTGGTTTAAATTGATTCAGAATGATTTGAAATTTCAAGAAAGCATAAAATTTCTTCATTTATTAACTTTCCGATTGAGACGTTTATGTTTTCATAAAAAAATCCGATTCGCTAATTTTATATTTTCTCGACGTTTTAAGCCATTCTGAATTCAATGAAACCAAATTTGAAAAAAGGATGTGTGTGTGTGAACAGATTTTTTGCCGTAAATCGCCGTTTTCTCAAAAACGGCTGCACCGATTTCAATGATTTAAAAGCCATTTGATGTATCTCGATGAGGACTAGCGTTCATCAATTTTACGCGACGATCAGCCAAGCCGTTTCTTTGCAAGTCGCAGAAAAGTGAAAAAAAATTGGCCACGTTTTAGCCCGGAATTCTGAATCGATTTTGAAAATTCAAAAACTGTTCGAAAGATATTGGTTGGGAATCGTGCTGTAAAGAAGCCTTGGTGAAATCTTGGTAAAGATCGGTCGGGTCATTTTCTTGTAATAAAGTGTTAAAAATTTTTTTTCGATGAATCTTTATGAATGAATTGTTTTTTTTTGACGGTTGATACCATAGACTTCTAGATCATACTAAAATATTATGGCCCTACGACAAGTCGTTTAATTTTAAAAATCCATAGAAGTTTTCAAAAATTAGTATCGTTTTTTGGCGTTTGTTGAAATTAGAATTTCATCGGCGTTTTCTTAAAAACGGTTGAGTCGATTTTAAAACTTTAAAAACCATTTAATGAAACTTAATAAGCACTCGCCTCGGTTACATTTTTGATACGATCGGCTGAACCGTTTTTTTGTAATTAAAAGAAAAGTAAAAAAAAAAATCCGTCTACGTTTTAGCCAAAAAATTTGAACCGATTTTGAAAATTCAAAAACTATTCGAAAGATATTATTTGGGAGTCGTGCTGATTAAATTTTGGACAAAGATCTTGTGACAAAGCTGAGCTGTTTCTTCGTAATTAACTCTCGTAAAAAAAATTTGATGAAAGTTTTGTTAATAGATATCATGGTCCTGAACAACATACTGAAATTTTACGTTTCTACGACAGGTAGTTTAATTTTAAAAAATCATCAAAGTTTGAAACAATGTATAGTCAAAATTTGTGCCATTTATGATGTGAAGAGTTAAACATTATCAATTCGTTAAAATTTAAAATGATGAGCTAATAATTATAGGACATACAAGCACTAGTGTCTGTGCACTATAAAATATAATTACAGATGTTATAAATGTGTCTGAGAGGTTAAATTAAATTGGAAATGGCAATGTTTGGATTCAATTGATAGCGATAACTTTATTTTCCAAATAATTAGTTGAAAATTTTATCTAAATCTCAAATTTGGTTGATTAAGTCAATTATTACACATTTCGAGAAGTTGCCTCAAAGCAAAATACCTATACCAACTAGTTAAACTTATTTTTACTCAACTTCTATTTTTCTTATGAATATTATTCTACTCTTATCTTACAAAAAACACCTATAGTGTTTTATATTTAAAAATATTCAAATAATTCTAATTAAATAAAAATCAAACTATATCGCAAAACGTTTATTTTATTTCAGAATTTCATAATCAGTTATCAGGTCTGGTTACATTGTTTCATTATGCATTTTTTATGTGACATTTATCATTTGCTAACAAGAAAAATAATTAAAAAACGTTACTTTTTATTCAGAAAATTTTTCGGTTACCTTTTTAATTTCTTCCCATTTAGACACGCTCTTTATTCCCAGAGTAGAATATTTTTTATTAGGGGTGCTATTCGGAAATATAGTGCGAGAACTTTTCGATGATTTCGCGCAATCGGGTTTCGACTTTTTAGATGAACACTTCTTGCCAACACTTGATTTTGATGATTTCTTACTGGGAGGCGATGATGCCTGGTCAGTACATTTGGGCTTCTTAGGTTTTTTTGTTTACAAGGTTGTGGCTTACATTTGCCCGAACCATCTTTGCTATACTTGTTGCATGTTGGAATCTCGATCTTCTTAGGCCCGAAACAATCTGTTTCCGATCCGCAAGTTTTCGGCATAGCATTACATTTTGGCGGCTTCTTCTCCTTGATGCAGCTTGGAACGCTCTTACTTCGTTTTAAGTTTTTGTTCTTACTTTTGGATTTTTCTTGCTCGAGCTTTTTTTAGGAGGAGGAAGACAACTAGAAATTTCAGGACCCAAATCTAGTGGTTTTGTGGCACATGGAGGTACCGGCACTACCATACTGGATGTGTTTGACTTCGTTGAACTTTGCTTGCAGATATCTAACTCAGCTTCTTTCTTGCACGGCTTTTTGCAGCTATCGGATTTCTTAGACTTTGATGGTTTTTTTGCCGGTTTCTTATCACAAGATGGTGTTTTCTTTGGCTTTTCCGTTTTAACACTGCAACTAGATTTTGTTTTCTCCGCTTGTTTCACACATGAAGGTTTTTTTGCGGGTTTCTTCTCGCATGGCGACTTTTTTTTCTCACATGTTTTCTTTTCTGGTTCTGTCTTGACGCTGCAAGTTGACTTCTTCTTTTCTGGTTTCTTTTTCTCACAACTAGACTTTTTTATTTCTGGCAACTTCTTCGCACTGCATGTTGGCTTGCACTTAGCCGCCTCTAAAGAACAGTCTGATTTTGATCGATGAGGTTTTTTGCACGGCGGATCCTTACTTAATTTGCAAGTGGATACCGATGGCTTTTTCTCACAACTAGACTTTTTTGTTTCTGGCAACTTCTTCGCACTGCATGTTGGCTTGCACTTAGCCGCCTCTAAAGAACAGTCTGCCTTTGATCGTTTTTTGCACGGCGGATCCTTAGTTAATTTGCAAGTGGGTACCGATGGCTTCTTTACAGGTTTTTTGCTACAAGTGGATTTTGATTTTTTGACTTCACATTTAGACTTCTTCTTTTCTACCTTACACGGTGGTGGACTTTTCTTCTCACATGACTTTGAGCGTGGTTTTTCCGCTTTTTGCTGGGGCAGGATTTTTCACTTTGAGGTCACTACACGATTTCGATTTTTTTGGTTCTTTGTCACAAGGTTTACATGTTTTTTCTTTACTTCGCATTTGGGCTTTGATGGTTTCTTTGGTACGCTGCACTTTGGCTTTTTCGGGGGTGTAGTTTTGCATTTAGGTGGTTCCGGTTTCTTCTTTTCTGCTGGCTTAGCTTTACAAATTTGTGGACAGCTTTTCTTGACACTAGCCTTTGACGGTTTCTTTTCTGGTTTCTTTGCGCAAAGAACTTTTGACGATTTCTTTTCTGGTTTCTTGCCGCAATCTGACGGTTTCTTTTCCTTTTTATCATCTTTACATTTGGGAGTCTTCTTTGGCGTTACTGGTTTTCCTTCTGGGCACTCTTTAGTCATTGATTTCAAGACGCTCTTCTTTTTATCCGAAGCCGACTTCGAACGCTGCCCGCCTTTGCCACCTTTACCTCCGCTTTTTACAACCTGAGCAGCCTTCCTCTTTAATTCTTGGCATGTTTTCAGACAAGACTCACTCGCCTGTTTCTGTAAATTCTTATGATGTTCCAATGCCTTCTGATACTCGGCTTTGAAGTCATCGCATATTGATTTCGACAGTTGTTTTACGGCTTTCAGACCTTCTGTCGTCGAATAATTGATGGAATCCCAGACGAAATTTTTGGTGTCTTTGTAAATTAGCTTACCGACATCCATCAACTTCTTGGTAGCCCTGTTCTGAAGTTGGTTCGTCTTCTTAACTCTGGAATCCTGCGCAGCTATTATCCGACATACCACGCGTATGGGGTAACGAAAATTAATCTTTTTCATATTTTTGCTTTTAAATATTTTCTTGCGTTAATTATATACTGAACATTTGACTTTTTGGATTCACCACGGTGGTGGTGATACGCACGCGAAATTTGGAAAAATGTGGAAAGGGGATTAATTTAATCCATGTCTATTTTTGTTACGATACATTTTGTCGCCAAAATTGTATACTTGACATAATGATTTCGGTTCACTTGGAAATTTAATGTCTACATATTTTTTACTTCAATATTTTAAATAGATTAATAAATTTATTTTTTAATATTGTCGACTGCTGAGGTTTTTTCACAATGTTTCGCCAATGTTTTATTGGCGAAGTAAGCATGATGCATTTATTATATCAGCATTAAAGAAATGTCAAAACACCGGAATAAATTTCAGAAAATCAAAACCAACCGTTACCAGTTTAGATTTATAATGCAATTATTTTTGGAGTGTTTACAATTACCAATTGAAAATGCTAAATTCTAATAAAAAATCCTTAAGATGCTGATTGTTTTTTCGGTTTTTAGTAATAAAAATGTTTTGTAGTAGTGTGATACATGATAAACTTATCCTTAATCTAGTTGGTATTGGTATTTTGCCTTGAGGCAAGTTACATGAACGTCTCGATATGTGTAAATAATCAATGAAAAATAAATTAATTTATGAGTGATTAAAAGTATTCCGAGTGGATTAATTACACATATTTGAAAATGAACGAACACGTTAACTCGGAATATTTTCTAAAAGCAATTTTTTACAAAACAACAATTTCTATAATTGAACCAGTTTCCGTAGGACTTTAGTAGTTTATTAGCTATTAGGACCAAGTACTTTATCGTTATACCAAGCGAAGCGCCTAATTTTAATTTCAACAAACGTCAAAAAAACTACTCATTTTCTAAAATTTTGTAAATATTTCAGTAAGTTCTATAAGACCATGATATATATCACCAAATGAAGGTCCATAAAATCGGATATATTTTTCAACAGTTAATTACAAGAAAACGGCTCGGTAGATTTTCACATAAAACTAATCAGTATCGATTTTTTAAAATCGATTTACTAGTATGAGCTTAAATGTGGATGAAAAGTTTAACACTTTTTTCCAAATTCCAAAGAAACGACTCAGCCGATCGTCGCACAAAACTGAGGAACGATAACCCACATCGAAATAAATCGATTGGCTTTTAAATTCTTGAAATTCGATTCAGGCGTTTTTAAGCAAATGTCGATGAAAGGTCTAATTCTGACAAATGCCAAAAAAACGATACTAATTTTTGCAAACTTTGACAAATTTTTAAAGTTAAACGAGTTGTCGTAGAGCCGTAATATTTTAGCATGTCCTATATGACTATGGTATCCACCGTAAAAAAATCATGAAAAACATCGAAACTTCATTACAAGAAAACGGACCGGCCGATCATTACCAAAAACTAATCACCACGATTCACAACCAATATCTTTCGAACGGTTTTTGAATTTTTAAAATCGATTCAAAATTGCGGGCTAAAACGTGGACAAAAATTTTTCACTTTTATGTTATTTACAAAGAAACGACTCGGCCGATCGTCGGCTTTAAAATTTTTGAAATCGGTTCAGCCGTTTTTGTGAAAACATCGATTTACTGCAAAAAATCTGTTCACATACACACACATACTTCTTCCAAATTTGGTCTCATTCGATTCAGAATGGCTTGAAACGTCGAGAAAACAGAAAATTCGCAAATTAGATTTTTTGATGGAAACATTAACTTCTCCTTCGGGAAGTTAATAAATGCTGAAGATATTGAATTAATATCATCCCACTAAACTGTATAATATTATTACTACCTTAGCGGATACGACTTCAGCAACTTTATCCTACATATAAAATAATGTAAACAAAACTTGATTTAAATAGCATTTTTTTTAATTGTTTCCACAGCAATCAGAACTCTTTATTACTGTTCTATAAGCTATTTTTGTGTATGACTTATGACCTAAGGTATTGATATGAGAAGCAACCCATCGGTTCATCCTTCTCCTTTGTATGGGGTTTATATATTAGCTCTTATGTCTAATAATGTGCATATGATTGTATGATGCAACTATGTCCACGAAGGACGATTTCTACTTGGAATTATATTGTGATCTATAACCCCAAGTGGAAATTTGACATCAAAGTTGCCTGATGTCAGGCTTGAAGTAGCATCAGCATTAATTTTTTCCCACTATCAATTAATTGAATACCATTGAAATTATTTTTTTTCACCAGCTGCCCAACTTCCTGACTGGTTGAAGGATGTCGATGCCCGTGTGCAGTTTGGAATGAAATTCGGCCAGAGTCGTGGTTTTATAAAACCAGGAAATCCAGTAATCGTGGTCACTGGATGGAAACAGGGATCAGGATTCACCAACACCATGCGCATCGTGTATGTAACTGATGATGTCGTACCAGAAGGAATGACTTGCTAGTTTGGGTGGAGGAAGAATATCTGATGATGGCTTTGCATGATTTCAAATTTTTTGCTTGTGAAAATGTGACTGATTGAAATGTGTTTGTGTAATAACTATTTAATTTAATTTATGTTTCATGCTTGTTTACTTTAATTTATGGCTAAATGTTTAAATTAAAAGGTAATTTTAAAATTAAAGCTTCATTTATTAGATAATTTTAAACCAACATCATGATTACTGAATATTAAGAAATGTAGCATCGTTTAAATGTATTGGCATTTTAGTTTGGAGCTTGATATATTTTTATCAACCACATACTTATGGGCATAAGCCTCTTGTACATAAGTACATATCATATTTCGCAGAAGTTTTGCCAAAGTATTCTTTACACTTTCAAGATACGAATTCAAGATACATTACAAACATTTATTATGTGCAGGGACTATATATTTTCATAATGAAAATTAAAGTTATGCAAAATTTTCAAATTAATTGGATCTTTAATATAGATTTGTATCAATTAATTTGTCTAAATAATTATTTTGAAAATACTTGAGATTCGTACCAATGAGAAAATTCAAAAATATTCATTTGATAAGTATTAAATAATTATAGGTTTGATAATAATATACATTTCAACAATACATAGAAGTTGCTTTTACAATTCTTCTTCATTTATACCACAATATAATCACTTTTGTATTTTATATATAATTTCACTCTCAATGACTTCAATCCATATTCTTCATATTCAATTATTAAGCAAAGATTTGATTTTTTATGGTGGTTAATTTTTCATATTTAGTATTCTTTGAATATTTGTCAATCAGATTTAATATTTATGTCATATTATATAAATAGTAAATTTGATTTTTAAGTATATACCCGGTAAACCACAAAACTTAATTAAAACGTGACTATTACGTAACGGATGTTACGTCAAACATAGCGGTTACGTAACATAAAAGGCAAACGGGATAACGTAATGGTTTCCGTTTTGTTACGTTTCCAAAATTCAAAAATTCCAAATTGGTGTACCGTTGAGAATCAACACAAAATTTCAAAACTCAAATATTCAACCTAATTTAAAAAATATTCAAAATTCTGAATTATTTCAAGTTGCTTTTTTAAATTTACAGTTCAATATCTGTTTACAATTAGTAAAACTTCAGCAATTTGTCCAAACACAAATTTGAATGTATTCGAAATATTGTGAAAAAAAACAAACATTTTTTTATAGATTAATTTTTGAAATAATTATTTATAGTTTTTATACATAACTTGCATTAATACATTCGAGGGTTTTTGATTTGAAAAATAAGTCGACCGTTTATTAGCATTATCCAATAATTATTGTTTTAAACATTTTTGACCTAGTCAATGCTTTATATCCAGTAATTAATATAATGAATATTAAGTATTTTTATCTTCTACATAATATCCTTTTCTATACATTATTTTTACTTATTTACTTAAATATTTTCAAATGATTTCTTTATATTGAAGTACATAAATGCATATTATTTGTATTTTTTAAAGCTGCAAAGAAGAACTCTTGAAACCAATTGCTAACTAATTAATGCATGCTTTAAATTTTTAAATTTGATTACAATTTTCTTAGAATGTCAAGAAAGAAAATTGAATATTTATCTAATTGTCTCTCAATTTGCATGTCAAAAAATTTGTGTTTCTGTCGGTGAAGGCATCCTAAATGTTGCATGTACCATCAGATTCGTCAATTTTGGACCTGAACGAATATTTTTAATGAATACTAATAATTTTTCAGAAATTGTGAGTAAATAGAGACTGCCGCCTTTTAGAAAATAATTTTCATAGCAGACCACTTCATGGGACGAGTGTTTACTGCATTAATCAATTCATTATGTGAATAATGAGAATTTAATTAATTAGTATAAACTAAGTTCTAATATTTCTATAACAGGACATTAGATTGTCTAATGTTGTTATTTTCGGCATTCAAGCTGAAATTTTTATAGTGCAAATTTTTACTAGTATATTAATACAGTGATATAATGCTATATAATAAATTAGATTTTTTAAGTGAAATATAATGTTAATAAAATGATTTCAGAACTGTATGTGAGAAATTTTTGTAATAAACAGAATTTTCATGAAATTTAAAACAAATTTCTATTTATTTTATATATAATTTAAAAAAAATTGAAACAGAACTTACAATTAGACTTAAAGACAAGATTTATTCTAAACATAAGAAATACATACAGTAATGTGAAGAGATTTATTTCGAGAACATTTTTGATTTTTAACTTCCCGTTGGGTAGTTATAGTAATGGGCCGAAAATCGAAAATGAAATTTTTTACATTTCTCGACGTTTTGAAGGCTTCTGAACATTTTGGTATACCTCAGAAAAAATGAATGTGTGTGTATGTTTTGTATGTCCGCATATTTCGTCCACGTTTTCGGGCGCACGGATCAACCGATTTGAATGGTTCAAAAAACATTCGATCCCTATTGATAGGGAGATGTGCTGATTAGTTTTTGACAACGGCAGGTTCAGCGGTTACGGAGATACGCAGAAAAGAGTGCAGAAAATAAAAATAGAGTTTGTGAGAGAACGGAGTATTCGATTTGAATGATCTAAAAACATCGAATTTGTAATGATTGGCAGAAGAGGTGAGTAGTTTTTGGCAAAGGCAGGCCCAGCCATTTCGAAGATACGGAGCTAAATGTACAAAAAATGACAGTTTTTGAAAGAACTAGGCGTCCGATTTAATTGATTCAAAGAACTTTCTGCTTGTCTTAACAAAATAATTGATTTTGGAAAACATTTTTTTTGTTTCATTTTTTTTTTGTTCTTTAATTTTTTGTATATCGAAAATAATTCAGATTTTATTTTTAATTCTGACTATAGTTCTAATATACTTTAAACAAATAATTTCAACTTTGCAATTCAGTTTATATAATTCTTATAAATATTAGACAATGTTACAATATATTTATTTATAATAATCTATTTGAAAACATTCAGTATTTCTCGAACATTTCGTTACGGTACGGAAAGTTCCAGCAATTTGCCGTAAGGCACGATGCCACCCACCCCACTAGTTACTACATTATTTTTACAATCTAACTATATTTCTATAATTCAAAAAAATCTAAAAAAATCCCTTAATAAACTTCAGAATCATTTATGAAATCAGAATAATCGTTTAGAAGGATTATCCTTTCATACATCATTACAGAAGAATTTTATATCTAAGATATATTTAGGGTATAAATAGTAGAAAGTAACTAGCTGTAAGTGGAATTCTGTCTTAAGGCAATTAAGGCATCGTGCCTTAAAGCAAATTGCAAAGCAAATTTTTTAAAACAATTTTTTTTTAAAAGAAAAATGTTTTCTTCATTTTGACATATTTTGGAAATTCTGAAGGTTTTTTCAAAGCAATTGTACTGCTTTCACTGCATAAAGACGAAATATCAATGCGCGTAAGCGCCGCGTCGCTGTCTAACGCATAAGCATTGGTACGGAACCCATAGGAATGTAAACAAAATGTATACTTATTGTTAAAATCTCTATAAAATATCTGATAATTTGATGTGCATATGTCTAATGATCATTTTTGACCGCCAAATGACTCATTTTTTTACTTTTTTCTCCATATCTCCAAAGTCGTTGGACCTGCCTTTCCAAAATTTTGAACAGTTCTTCATTTAGTCAATACAAATAAAATGTTTTTTGAATTATTCAAATCGGACGCTCCGTTCTCTTAAAAACTGAGTTACCGTTTTCGGCACTTTTTGCCCCGTATCTTCGGAACGGCTAGACCTACCTTTGCCAAAAACTAATCAGCACGTCTTCTTATCAATACGAATTGAATGTTTTTTAAATTATTCAAATCGGTTGATTCGTGTTCCCGAAATCGTCGACGAAAATTTGTATCCGCACATACATACACACACACACATATATCCATTTTTTCTAAGGTATGCCAAAATGTTCAGAAACCTTTGAAACGTAAAGATATATAAAAATTTTCATTTTCGATTTTTTTGCGATTACTAACTTGCCCTACAGGAAGTTAATAATAGGTAACAATTTTACTAGAAAATCCGATTTGATAATGTTATGTTTTCTCAATATTCAATGATACTTATTTAACTATGTGTAAGCTCTTTTGACTAAAAACTCTTTTGAACCATTTTCAAACTAGCCGCCAAATTTTAAATAGTTTCTATCCTTTCATACATCATTACAGAAGAATTTTATATATAAGATATATTTAGGGTATAAATAGTAGAAAGTAATAATAGGTAACAATTTTACTAGAAAATCCGATTTGATAATGGATTTTTTCTCAATATTCAATGATACTTATTTACCATTTTCAAACTAGCCGCCAAATTTTAAATAGTTTCTTCGACCAACTTCAAGTTTATTTACAGCCGCCATTGATGTGTCATACAACCATACGTCACACCCATCACAACAAACTCAATTAGTTTTTAATTATTTTGTTGTATTTTTTCTAATGTAATTTATTTATAGCAATTTTAATTATTTTATAACAAAATATATATTTTAAAAAATGTATAAAACATTATTTGTGCTGTGTATTTTTGGCGTGGGATTAAAATCTGGTAAATATTACTTTTTTAACCTAGCTAATATTGACAATCAATTATATAAATATAATTATATATATATATATATATATATATATATATATATCAAGTAAATTACAATATTGCTAATTTTTATTAGAATTGTTTTGATATTTGTAATGTCATGAAATTGATTTGAACAAGTATCGATATTGACAACTTATCAAGTTCTTCAAAATGTAATAATTTTCTGATGAAATTGTTAAAGTTGAATAATATTTTGTAATAAAAATGATTGAAGCTTTGATTAAAAATGATTGAAGTATTATGTAGTTCACATTTCTTTCAATGAATCTGTTATCGTGCCCATATTTTATATATAAGTTATTGCACTTTTAATGTTTTATTTCTTTGGTAAATTTTATGTTTATTAAATTGTTCTCTTAATTATGTTATTTAGACTTACCTTATGATTTTCTGTCTATTTATCATTATTTCCTTATTTAGTATCAGCAATATCATGTTATCAATGCAATGGAACAGATGCTAAAAGTCTGTTTCAATGTGGAGAAGATCTTGGTGCAGCCGGTGGATCCATTGATCTGGTTCCCCAGTCTTGCGATAAAGTACACGATGCCAAATTTTGTGTAAAACATGTTGGCAGATATGAAGGTCAACTAATTATTTTTCCCATCAATTAATTGGAATCTGTAATGATAATACAATGACTAATGATGGAACTATGTTGTAGATCTCGCCTTACTAATTTAAATCATCTAGAAATAAATTTTCATTGAAAATATCATTAAATTAAATCAAATCATCCAAACCAACATCTTCACAAATGACATCACATTTACTAAACAACAACTCTCTTATATAACCATTATCTCTTATAATAATTTTAATTTTTATTCCTCTTTTAGTTTTTTTTTCTTTGCACCTGGTGATAAGTTTCTTATATGCTAATAAAAATATACTAATACCTTTAAAATTGCTAGTAAGTCCGATAGAGTGCTACCAATGCAATGCATCGACAGGAATAGAATGCTCCGACTGGCTCATTGGAAAGCCTGGTGGAAGTCTCAAACCAGAAAGTTGCGAGCATGTGCATGATGCTCAGTACTGTATAAAAACGACTGCGTTATATGGTTATGGTTTTAAATAATTTAAGATGTAGTTTGCTTTAATAATACTAACTTGGTTTGCACATCAACTATTTCTGCACTAGAAGTATCATACAAATATAATATTATTTGTATTATTTGTACACATGATATTAGGCACTTACCTCATAAAAGTTTGTTCATCAATATTATCACATTTTGTTTTATTTGGTGAAAGTACTAAATACAATTTACAATTTTTTGGTTTCAATTGTAATCAAATACACTAAATTAAAATTTTGCATATAAATATTATGCACACATTTAAGACAAGTAATAATTTTTCAAGAAATTCAATTTGTTTTAGTAAGGTCATCAAGTAGATGTAGCAAAGGGTTAAAAGTTCTAAAACAAATCTAATTTAAAAGGTTCATACTTATTCCCTTTTTTAAAATATTTTTTTACACATCAAAATGATGTATTTCACTTATACTTTTACCCCATGCAAACATTTTAGATAACTTCTGTCATTCATTCTTATCTAGTTCATTGTTATAACTAGTTGAAAGTGGCATTTAGCTTTAAGGCAAGTTGCATGAACTTCCTGAAATGTGTAAGAATTGACTTAATCAATCGTATTTAAAATTTAGATATTTAGATAAAATTTTCAACTGTTTATGTCGAAAAAGTAATCGCTTTCAATTAAATCTAAACATTGCGAATTCGAATAAAATTATCCCAAACACATTTAAATTATCTGTAATTATATTAATTATATTGCACAGGCACATGCTTGTATGCCCTAAAGTTGTAGCATTACTTGGTATAACGATGGAGTACTTGGTCTTAATGAACATACTAAACCATTAAAGTTTTACGGAAACTGGTTCAATTATAAAAATCATTGATTTGTGAAAATTTGCTTTTAGAAAATACTCCGAGTTAACGTGTTCGTTTGCTTTCAATTATGTGTAATAAATCCACTTGGAATACTTTTAATCACTCATAAATTAATTTATTTTTTATTGATTAAGTCGATTATTCAAACATATCGGGAAGTTCATGTAACCTGCCTCAAGGCAAAATACCAATACCAACTTGTTCTATTTACAATCTGATGCACATTTATTTATGTCATTGTATTTTTTTATTATTTTTGCTTTACAAAAGTTTTTTGGGATCAACTTAATGTATTGCTTCTTTTTTCCAAATTCACAAATCATATTTATTAAACAAATCTGTCGATTCCATTTATAGGTGGTATAGGAGCCAAGAGATTCTGCTCATCGAAAGATCTAGGAAACTATTGTAATTATGTAAAAAATCCTGGTGATCAATTGACTTACCGATCTTGCATTTTCACTTGCAATACTGATGGATGCAATTCTGCCATATCACTAGTGAATAGTTCTAGTTTATTGATAATCTTTAGTGTTATATATCAGAGCATTGCCTTTTTTATGTAAGCTAAGAGTAGAATAACAAATAATTGTAGTACAAAATCAATTCCAAATCTTACATTATCCTTTGTAAGGTGTAAATTATAAAGACTGTATCAGATATTGGAAATGTATATGAATTTTTACACGACGTAGTAAAATATATTACTTACCAGTTTTTTATGACATGATGTCTGTTTGATGTAACATGACAAAGCTTTTTAAATAAAATATGTGGCCTTCCAGTTGCAAAATTCATACAATACATTATCTGATATTTTTACAACATTCCGTCCACAATTTTTGTAAATGTTTTAAAAACAAATTGTTATTTAAATTGTGCAATAAAACTCATTTTGCTATGAAGTCGTTTTTTCGATATTACAACTTGTCCTAAAACCATAGAGCGTTTATACATGAACACACACAGTACATACATATATGTGTGCACATAAGAATGTTAGTCAAATAATTTAATAACTAGTGGTGTATGACATCGTGCCCTAAGGCAAATTGCTGGAACTTCCCGTACCAACAATTATTTTTTTTAAAAAAGATTTTTTTAACTAAAAAAATTAGATTTTTGAGAAATTTTATATTTTTGCATAGAGATGCAATATAGAAGCGTCCAACGGACAAACGATATTACGTAAACAAAATTGATACACATTATTAAAATCTTCACAAAAAATCTTATAATTTGATGCGCAGATCATTTTTGACCGCCAAATGGCTTTTTTTTACTTTTTTCACTAGATCTCCGCAACCGCTAGACTTGCCTTCTCAAAAATTTAATCAGTTCTTGTCAATACAAGTAAAATGTTTTATGAATTAATAAAATCAAACGCTCCGTTCTCTTAAAAACAGAGTTACCGTTTTTAGCGCTTTTTGCCCCGTATCATCGGAACGGCTAGACTTGCCTTTGCCAAATCGATTTTTTTTTTAATTATTCAAATCGGTTGATCCGTGTTCCTGAAATCGTCGACGAAAATTTGTATCCGCATATACATACTTACACTTCATGCATACATACAAACAAACACACATACACACACACACATACATCCATTTTTGCCTGAAAACGTGCTGTCAAATGTAAAAATGTGACTGTTCTCCTAATACATCAAAACGATTTTGACGAAATTTTGTATGGAAATCAATATTTTTTGTACTGAATCATTTATACTACCAGGGGAACAGTCACAATTTTGAATTAAAATGGCACTCATAGTGTACACAGGGCCGACTGCAAAAATGTTAGGGGTAACTATTTTCAATTAAAACAAAGAAATATGCAAAATAAATAATGTGTTTAATTAATAGTTATTAAATGTTTATAATTGATATTTGTATATGGCTATTAATTATTCTTTGCCAAAAGCAACCTGAAATATTCAATAAAATGCACATAAATATTATAATAAAAGAATCAAATTAAATTTATAATTTTATTCATATAATTACAAAATATTACAAATATATAAATATTACTCATACAAGTAGTAAGTTTAAAACTAATATATATTAACTATGATAATGACAGCGTGATATAGTACATTGTGTATTAATAGAGACGATCAGAGTTAACATATATAAATATTTCTGCCTTTTATTTCATGTATTGCCCTTGAAGAAATTACTCATAAATATTTCTATATATAATATTATCCATCTGAAAGATACATATTTTTCTGGTTAATTGTGCAATTAAAATACACAGTATAGTTAAATTAATATATATATATATATATATATATATATATATATGGTAAAATTGTTTCTTGGGCATCCATCCAGTAATTAAAAAACAGTTTTAATGAAAAATGTTTTTATTTAGAGAACATACGTTTCGGATCTTGATTTGACCCATCTTCAGTGCTACAATTAAATAATTCAGGGTTACAAATTAAAACAATATAAAAAATACATAATTACAGACAAAAATAAGTAAAACCAATGTATATGAAAAGTATATATGTAAAACAACCATAAAATAAACAAATGTAAAGAAACTCACCATACAAATAAATTTTGAAAAATAACACAAAAACACACAAAATTGCACGAAAAAATAAATATGTAATAAAAAATTGATAAAACGTCGAGTTATGGAAATTTTTAAAAAAATGTAAAATTAAAATAAATAATATATTTTATTATAAAAGAGCTTATTCCAAACGAACATGTTGTCAGTTTGGTAAATGTGTTACGTGTGTGTACGAGAATGTGTGCGTAAGTGTTTGCGGAAAATATTGGAAACTGTCAGCAACTATTGGTCGAAGAGGAAAACCATCTTTGTGGATTTTGGGAAGACAATAAAGTTTTGGGGAAATGGGATTGTAGGTTTTTAATTGTAGAGAGAGAGAGAGAGGTTTGGGAATTTGCTTGTTTTCTATAAGTGAATCAATGAATTTCAAAGTATTCCGATTTATAAGGTCAGTGGGATCTGAATTTATAGGTTCGTAAATGTTTATTACATCAGCTAGAAGAGACATGGATTTGGAAATATAGTCAACTTTGTTCATAATAACCGTGATGTTACCCTTATCTGCCCTGGTAACAACTATTTCTGGGTGTTGTTTGATAAAGGATTTGCAAAAGTGGATGTCCTTGAGTAATTCTTTATGTTGATGAATGTTAGAAATGTCGAATTTGAAAAAAGAATTAAGTTGGTTGCAAAAAATAGATTTAATGCGGTTTTTTCATTGATATCTTTTAAATTACGTAAACTATATTCTAAAAAGCTAAGTGTTTTGACAAAATTAAACGATTTTTTCTGTTGTGGAAAGGAAAATTTAGGACCTAGTGCTAAAATGTTCAAAACATTGGATGGGATGTCTAAATCGGTAATGTTTTTTACCCATTTATTGATGATATCAGGGTTTATATATATTTTGGATTCGTTTGCCTTTTTCGAATAAAGAGTATTGAATTTTTTTGACATATTAAAAGAATTATTGAATCTAGAGTTTTCGAAATCTAAAAAATTGTTAATGTCAATTGTCAATTGTCAATGTGAGTATTAATAGTGGAAAATAAGGATTGGATGTTATAATTTAAAGATTTATTTATGTTATCAATAGAGGTAATGCAATGTTTGATTTCTAGATTCAGCAAAATAAAAGAGAAGGAAAGCTTTTTATTTTTAAAATAATTGGAATTTAGATGATCAAAGTTTGTTAATTTGAAATCAAAGGATTTAGGTAAAAGTCTTTCTTTGCGACAATGAAGCCAGTTTTGAGAAAAGATTTGAAATAGTTTTAAATAAAATGAGTTTGGTAGGTCCATAGCAATGGAAAATGTACTCGAAAAAAGATGAAAATGAGTAAGGAATGCATTGTGTAAAACTATTATGAAAATAATTGTTGTAACGGTAAATTGACAAATTATTGAAATTATTATAATTCTGTGTGTAAGCTGGATATTGATAAGAGGAACGACTATTATGTCTTACCTTATTTGTATGGAGAGCACTATTTACATATATAGTAGTGAAATTCTCGTACACACACGTAACACATTTTCCAAACTGACAACATGTTCGTTTGGAATAAGATTTTTTATAATATATATATATATATATATATATATATATTATAATCATCTCTAAATAGTTTTATCATCGTTTATTTATTTATATTATATTCGCTTTACATACATTTTGCTTCATGCTTTATGCTCAAAAAAACTATTCAAAAAATTTCTTTTTTTTCATCCAGGAGTATCTACGGTACAACCAGATCAAACGTGTACTAATCAGACAACAAAAGACAAAAACGTGACTTTATTTATTATTATTATTTAAGAAATCTATATATTTTTATACACGATTTTAGAATTAGCAAATATAAATATAAATATAAATATAAATATAAATATAAATATAAATATAAATATAAATATAAATATAAATATAAATATAAATATAAATATAAATATAAATATAAATATAAATATAAATATAAATATAAATATAAATATAAATATAAATATAAATATAAATATAAATATAAATATAAATATAAATATAAATATAAATATAAATATAAATATAAATATAAATATATAAATATAAATATAAATATAAATTATATATGTACATTAATGTAATCTCGTTTTTGCCTATAAAACAATAAAATTTTGTGAATTGATAAATTGAGTTTGTTTTGTCATATTTATTATATGTGAATAAACTGTTCTTTTCAGGTTAGAATATTTTATAAAATTCAAATTTTTATTTAAAATAATATTTGTTTAATAGACATCTTCCACAGGTAGTGTAATCCACTGTGATTGTACTAATTATAAATAAGTATGTTTGTAAATGTATATTCTAATTTCAGTTTTAAAAATCTATGTATTACTATTCATGCTTTAATTCTCAATAAGTGTAAAACATGCAGTAATGTATAAAACGATATATAAATGTATATATTGATATTCCTTCAAAACCAAGACCATAATTATATATGTAATCCCGTATAAATGAATCCAATGGGAATCCACTAAATCTTATGTACTTAAGACGATTGCATGCAGCGCCTCTATGCAATAATGTTCCCAGTTCTTCGGGAACTACGTAGCGATTCGAATCCACTGATTTATATATTGATTTATACGTGATTATATATGGGAATCGGGTATATAAGTGTATATATTGCTTTTCGCATCATTATATAGACCAAATTGGGTGCATGGCATTTTGCCTTAAGGCAAATTGCTGAAACTTTCCACCGTAATGAAATATATTAAATGGAATTTTAAATGTTTCAAAATTTTGGGAGACAGACAGAAAAAAGTAAGTAAAACTATAAGAAGTTTAAATGTTTATTTAAAATTTATGGAAAAAATAAAACAAAATACTTAATAAATTTTCTTGGGGATTCGAACTCGAGACCCAAAACAAGAACGATTGCCATTGCACCCCCTGAAAAAAATGGTTAGAATATGATACATGTGTTAACAATTACTTCACATATCTCCCTCGCCCTTTTAATTGTCGAATAAAAAATCCTTGTCGGATTCGAACCAGCATTCTTCAAACTAGAGTCTAGTTAGCGTTCTAACCGATTCGGCCACGACGACCAAGATTTTCGGGCGACTAATACTGGAAGGACATTCTTCGACGAAAGACCATCATGATTTGAGTCAAGGTCACTGGGGGCTGATATGAAAAAATTAAATTTTCACCCAGGGGGTTGAAAGTGGGCTCATTCGATTCCTCGGGTTCTTGCGAATTTCGAGCGGGGGGTTACAGGGGGGAATATTTTGTCCTTTTTTCGCTCAG